AGCTACGTAAAGCTACGTCCGCTTTAACCCATCTCACATCCCACCAGAGCTACGTCCCCTAGAACCGACATGTGGCCCATCTGCCCTCCCACCAGAGCTACGTCCGCTTTAACACATCTGCCCTCCCACCAGAGCTACGTAAAGCTACGTCCCCTAGAACAGATCTGACCTCCCACCAGAGCTACGTCCCCTTTAACCGATCTGCCCTCCCACCAGAGCTACGTAAAGCTACGTCCGCTTTAACAGATCTGACCTCCCACCAGAGCTACGTAAAGCTACGTCTGCTTTAACCGACAGCGGCCCCTCCGTGTGCCCACACCTTAACTGTATCCGTCAGCTCCGGCTTGGTTTAAAACGGGATGGAGTCTCAGTGTTTAAAGCTTCTACCAATGTGAAGACACCTGAGAAACTTTTCGAAGTCAAGGACCTCCAGAAAATTGAACATATCGCATTTAATTAGACCATCATGGCTTTTATGCACTATACCTGCTATGACAATGTAAACTATACAACAAAAAGTTCTCAATTAGACTCATATGGATGTATAAATATAGACAATTAATATAGAAGCAGAAAAAGGATTAAAGTATAACAACTTTTAAAAAATGTGCAAAATAAAAAGTTTTTTTAGACAGAGGAGATGAGAGTAATAATTATAACAAAAAGCAAGTATCAAAATTAACATGTAAATGAAGTAGTAAAACAGAGTGTTGGATATGTTAGGATTTAGGAATAATTAGATCAAATGTGGATGCGTTGATTTGTAAAGCAGGACGTGGCTGCTCTGCACTGATTCACATAAAGACAGATTTATTTGAGGGACGACAAAAGGGATGAATGGAGAAAAAAAGAAGGCTATTTCTTCTTTTTCTCATCTCATCTTTAAAATGATGCTGCCTTTAGACAGTGAAGTATGGGTGGAGATCCTCTGCTTTATTATTCAATATTTTTTCTTTAATCGTATTTGGAATCATCAGAAATTCCACCTTGTGGAACATTTCCCTCTGACTGCATCGGCTGGTGTGTTAGTGGCCTGCAGCATTTTTACATCCCTCTGGCAAGTCATGTCCACAAATAGAAGAAATAAATAAATAACTAAATAGGGCGTAGACGATAAATAATGACCACACTGCCCTTGCCCCTCCTGTCCTCCACCTCCAGCTGCACAGGTGAGAGAACTGGAGATATATATATATGTGTGTATATATATATATATATATATATATATACACATCCGACCGCGACACCTGCCAGAGGAGCTGGCACACATCCAGCTAACTCTCACACACACACACACACACACACATTCACACACACACACACACACACACACACACACACACACACACACACA